TTTTTTTTTTTTTTTTTTTTTAAGTGACTTAACCTGCTGCCTGACTTGGTAGCCAGAGAAGAGGAATTAGCTGTTTAACACTGAAGGTGAAAGGTTAAGCAGCAAGCGGGAGGTTTCCCTGGAGAGATTAGTTGGTTTGAGCGATGAATATGGAAGGGAGAAAAGGGTGAATTAAGGAGATTAAAGAATTACTATGTCTGAAAAGATCAATGTAAAAATAAAAAGGAAGAGAATGCAAAATTGAAACAGATATTTTACATATAACACAACATTGAGGCCTCAATACAAATATAAGCCACCACATTTATGGTCTATTTAAAAAAAAAGTATATCTTGACTTCTTAATCCAACCTATTAAGTGAAAATGTTAAATGGATTTTGAAGTATTATCTATGGGCTGTCAACAGACCACCAGTTTATGAACAAGCCTGTAGGAAAGAGAGTCTATTCTGTTAGAACAGGAGGACAGCAACTGGAGGATTTCTTTGCCAAAGGCAGCGTCTGCCCTGGAAGCCTCGGCAATTGCATGATGCTTGGTTAAATGTATGGATCTCCAAATGGCTCTCTTGCAATGAGCTGAGTGCTTCCTGGGTGCTGCAGATGTGGTCCGTCTAGATCTGGACACTAGGGCTAAGTACACACAGTCAAAAAGCCTGAGGCTGAATCAAATCAATGTTTGCAGGTTTCTGTAAACTGCCTAAATTGAAGTGATAAGAAAGTGAACTCACGGTCAATTTCCAAACTCGAAAGGCAGCTGGACCCCTGCAGTGGCCCGTACCAGGAGCTGGGGGGCCCTAGATCACAGCTCCAGGGGAAGGAAAGCCCACAGTGGGAGGCCGGGAGCCAGGCCAATTCTCCTGGCCAAGGAGGCAGTTTTCCAGGGGATGGAAAAGCCCCTGCTGACAGCAGGGCCAGCCCTGTTCTGCTGGAGCAGAGCGCAGCACATGGCTGCACAGCATCCTGGGATGCTGGAGGACCATGAATCACGTTGAATCAAGAGGAGATCTGGGACAGAAGATCCATAAACCAGTCTGACCTAAATCTGATACTACATCCATCCAGGTTTATCTTAAACCTGTTTCAGCCATTTTGAAAGTGGTTTAAGTGCATTGAACTTCAGTTCTCTGTTACAAGTTTAAACTGGTTCCTGATTGATTTAAGTAGTTTGTGTAATTTCTGTCCCTAGCCTAGGAAATAAGCCAGTGAAAAAAAAACAGGTTCTGAGAACAGCAGCAGCAGGCCAAAAATGTGGTTCGAATCAAACTTCCAGGCAGGTATAATGACGGATAGTGTATTGATACTGCCAGGGCAAAAAAGGCTCCAAGTGCAAGTGTCTGAGGCACTGTTAACTCAACCTTTACACAATATGCCAGTCTGCATCTGAATGAGCCATTAGCTATAAAAATAATTTTAGTACCAAAGAATACAACAAGGCCAGGTAACCAGATTTATTTCCCCAATAAGGGGCTTATGGCTTAGAGCTACAATAATAATAACCCCAACACCCCACTTTTGGGACTGAAATAATCATGCGGATAACCTTGAACAAATCTTTTCCATCAAAGCCTACTGGAAGAGGGCTCTGCATTTTGTAGCCAATCCTTGCCTTGTCTCTTCTCTGCATCTCCTAATCAGGCCAGGTTTAAGCTGCTTGTCAGTGTAAATGCAGATACCATGATTAAGGAGAGGAGGGTTTTTAAGACCATTTAAATGCTTCTGAAGTTTCAAACAATAATTGTGTTAATTACTATGCTCATCTATTCTACTAGGTAGACTGTATAGACCTTTACATACCTGCTAAAAGGCACACCTCCAACTCGTCCAATAAAATACAGATTAGCCAATTAGACCCATCTTGCCATGTTCCCCTCCTTCAAATAATCTGAGTGATACACACATAGGCATCCCTTGCTTCATACACTTTTTTTTTTTAAATCAAACCTTCTCCCTTACCTACTGCCTCAAGGACGTGAAATCAAAACACACATATCGCCAGTGTATCTGCTGCGTTCTCAAGGCTTAGACTGAAAACATTCTTTTCTTATGTAGCAACCCCAACTTTAATTTCTCTGCTGGATTCAAGCACAAGTCTCATTATTCTCGCACAAGATAAAGGCTAAAATGTTGAGATTCGGAGCAATGAGATGGAGCCAGCTGTAGTCCACTAGAAAAGAACTGCGTTGGCTTTGTTGAAATGAAAGCACAAAACAACTTGAAATTCATTATAAACATTTGATAATTTAAGAGCTGAGTAACTTTAGAAAGGACGAGAGAGAGGTAACCTGCCAAGTGGGTATACATAACAGCTGTCATGCATTTGGCATTGGTTCACAGAAGCCCGAGGCATCAAATGATTTAGATGTCTAGGACCCTGAAGTTATTAGCTCGTATTTTGAGAAAACCCTTGGTAATTTTAAGTGTAAACCATGCAGCTACCTAGAGACTACTAGAAAATGAAATTTCTCCTTGCAACACAACTGTGACACATTCTGTCTTCCCATTTTGAAGATGGGTAAATAGAGGCACAGTGGGGCTCTGATTGGTATTTGAAGCTTTCAGTGGTGGCCCATGAAAACTTGATTGCACTCTGCTTCCATTAAACTGCATTAAAAAGCAGCAGTCACATACTATTCTAAGTAAATAACTGCTGCAGGACAATTATAAAAATTTCAAAAGGGAAAGGTGACAGCCTGTGCACATGTAATGGCAAACTGACAGTCTTTACAACAGTCAATCCCATCATGTCACTGTTTCCACTAAACACACACACACACACACAGATAGATAGGATAGCTACCTATCTATCTATAGATAGATAGCTATATAGATCTATATCTGACAGACAGACAGACAGACAGACAACACAACAATGCTATATTCTAACTACACAATCTGATTAATGGACAGGCTTGCTTCCTTTTATCAGAAGTTTTTTTTAATTCCAATGGAAGTTGGGTTCTGTTAAATCAAATGCTTTTAAAGACAAGGGGACAAAAAAAAAGAAAAAATTCCCACTGAATGGCAAGAATATTGGCTAAACAAAAGCAAACAAATAAATTAAAAGACATTATTTCTTTCTGCTGTTGGCTGGATATTAAAAGACATGCTCAGTACCAGCAGCTGCCACTGAGTCCAGTGGGAATACAGTTACTTGACACTTTGGAAAACTGGGCAATTATTTTCTACTTTTCAGAACAGGCTGCATTAAACCTTTTTTCAATTTTCCTGCAAGGTTGTCACTGGGGTAAGGGATGTATTTTGAAGACCAGAAGTATAAAAATGGAGAACAGTAATTTCATGGTGAAGCAAAGAAATGTTAGCAAATTTGTAGCTAAAGCCCTACTTTTTTTTCTACATTTGAGTCATACATCATTACTCATTTTCTTTTGCCAACACACATCCTCTCTCCTGTGCCTAGTTTTCAGAACTTCTGTTGAACCTTTAAAATATTGGTTTAGCTTTTCTTCATATCCATACGTTTCTGTGATTAAAATAATTAAATTAATACAAGAAAATGAAAAATTAAATGAAACATGATCCAGTAGAACAAAGCAGAAGCAACCAGCTCTCTGGAGAATTTGTTGGTTTTTAACTACATCAGGAAGTAATTACACAATATTTTCCAGAAGTAAAACAGTGAGCCTAAATGGAAAAAAATGTGGAAACATTTAGTTAGAACAGTAGAGAAAGGTATTAAAGCCCCCTTTTATGGATTTAACTCTGAAGGAAAATATGCAAATAATCAAGGTCTCTAAATGTGCTTTTAATTACAATGCTAGCATAAAAGTCAGAGGCACAATTCTGTACCGGTTTTCCGTGACTAGAAATACTGTTTTCTTCTTGAGAGAGATGTTTAATGGTAAAAAAAGTCAAGAGTAAATGAACAATCTAATTAAAAAAACCAAATGATTCTATGATTCTGCGAAAAACAAACAACACCGCCCCCCAAAAAAACCCACCAATGATATACTCATTTGGGTGGTACAAACTAAGCG